CACCATAACTACCCTCAGGTATAATGACACCATAACTACCCCTCAGGTATAATGACACCATAACTACCCCTCAGGTATAATGACACCATAACTACCCTCAGGTATAATGACACCATAACTACCCTCAGGTATAATGACACCATAAGTACCCTCAGGTATAATAACACCATAACTACCCTCAGGTATAATGACACCATAACTACCCTCAGGTATAATGACACCATAACTACCCCTCAGGTATAATGACACCATAACTACCCTCAGGTATAATGACACCATAACTACCCTCAGGTATAATGACACCATAACTACCCTCAGGTATAATGACACCATAATCACCCTCAGGTATAATGACACCATAACTACCCTCAGGTATAATGACACCATAAAAACCCTCAGGTATAATGACACCATAGTCCCCCCTCAGGTATAATGACACCATAACTACCCTCAGGTATAATGACACCATAACTACTCTCAGGTATAATGACACCATAACTACCCTCAGGTATAATGACACCATAACTACCCTCAGGTATAATGACACCATAGCCCCCCTCAGGTATAATGACACCATAACTACCCTCAGGTATAATGACACCATAACTACCCTCAGGTATAATGACACCATAACTACCCTCAGGTATAATGACACCATAACTACCCTCAGGTATAATGACACCATAACTACCCTCAGGTATAATGACACCATAACTACTCTCAGGTATAATGACACCATAACTACCCTCAGGTATAATGACACCATAACTACTCTCAGGTATAATGACACCATTGTCCCCCCTCAGGTATAATGACACCATAACTACCCTCAGGTATAATGACACCATAATCACCCTCAGGTATAATGACACCATAGTCACCCTCAGGTATAATGACACCATAGTCATCCTCAGGTATAATGACACCATAATCACCCTCAGGTATAATGACACCATAATCACCCTCAGGTATAATAACACCATAACTACCTTCAGGTAGTTATACCCTCAGGTATAATGACACTATAATCACCCTCAGGTATAATGAAACCTTAGCCACTCTCAGGTATAATGACACCTTAGCCACCCTCAGGTATAATGACACCATAGCCACTCTCAGGTATAATGACACCATAGCCACCCTCAGGTATAATGACACCATAATCACCCTCAGGTATAATGACACCATAGCCACCCTCAGGTATAATGACACCATAGTCCCCCTCAAGTATAATGAGACCATAGTCACCCTCAGGTATAATGACACCATAGTCACCCTCAGGTATAATGACACCATAACTACCCTCAGGTATAATGACACCATAGCCACCCTCAGGTATAATGACACCATAATCACCCTCAGGTATAATGACACCATAACTACCCTCAAGTATAATGACACCATAGCCACCCTCAGGTATAATGACACCATAGCCACCCTCAGGTATAAATAGGAACAAGTGTGAAAAACACAATAGTAGTCATGATCAGGATTCGAACCTAGGCTCAGGGTACTCCCAAGCACCCGCCCTAGACCACTACGCCACCACATGGTCAAAAACATTGTAACCTGTGATTCGACTGAATCCTCTAGGGTCCGTGAGGCGTCCACTGAAGCCTAGAAGGTAGAATTCCTTGACCGCAAGTCTGAGTCTATGGGGGACATGTGTGAAAGTATCATTAGGCTTCAGTGGCGTAGTGGTCTAAGACTTTAGCTTAGGAGTACCCAGAACATAGGTTCGAATCCTGCTCATGACTCCTTCTGATTTTCTTTGTGCGTATACAGGTGTGCCTGTGTAGCCAGGTATAGACTAGCAGGTGTAGGTGTAGCCAGGTATAGACTAGCAGGTGTAGGTGTAGCCAGGTATAGACTAGCAGGTGTAGGTGTAGCCAGGTATAGACTAGCAGGTGTAGGTGTAGCCAGGTATAGACTAGCAGGTGTAGGTGTAGCCAGGTATAGACTAGCAGGTGTAGGTGTAGCCAGGTATAGACTAGCAGGTGTAGGTGTAGCCAGGTATAGACTAGCAGGTGTAGGTGTAGCCAGGTATAGACTAGCAGGTGTAGGTGTAGTCAGGTATACATAAACAGGTGTAAGAATGACGATCAGGTGCCTACCTGATAGTGCTTAAGTTAGGTCGTTACGGTTGAGTTTTAGTTCATGGGCTCCGAACACTGGAGTTTGGATGTCAATCTGTACTATATTATAGAGCCATAACGGCATGGGGTATAGCTCTCGGGCCCCGCCTCTTTTTTACTAAAGTATTTGTTACAATTTTTCTCGTAATTTGTCCATGACTTATTTCACCTGTTCTGCAGTTCATTCGTCAAGTGTTCATTCCCCAAGTGTTCATCCCCAGGTGTTCATTCCCCAAGTGTTCACTCCCACAATATTCATTCCTTAAGCGTTATATCCCTGTAACTCATCTGGATCAGTATTTTCTACGTTAGGACTATGTCTCCCCTGGTTCTTCTCATAGTGATTCCAAGTTCCGTGCCAGTATTCATTAAACATTTATGCAAGCCCTTATGTACGAAACCTTTCCATCTTTCCTCAATCGTGGCGGCTTTGTTTACGTATATGACACAGTTGACGAACTACGAAGCTTCGAAGCATTTTCTTAAATAAAAGTTAATATTATATTGTAGCACATTGTGCACATTTAAGCAGAGGTTAGGTTAGGTTGGCTGTTATTTGTATTTGTGTAGAGTGTTTGACTATTCATTAACAGGGATTTGGGCTGGTGTATGGAGTCCCTTTTGGTCTGTGTTCATGAGTACACGTCTCTCTAACTGATGACCTTCGAACCTTTCATGAGCAAAGTTTCGCTAACAACCTCTGTTCGAACCTTTCTCGAGTAGTGCTTCGCTAACGACCTCTGTTCGAATTTTTCATGAGCAGTGCTTCGCTAACGACCTCCGTTCGAACCTTTCACGAGCAGTGCTTCGTTAACGACCTCCGTTCGAACCTTTCTCAAGCAGTGCTTCGCTAACGACCTCTGTTCGAACCTTTCACGAGCAGTGCTTCGTTAACAACCTCCGTTCGAACCTTTCTCGAGCAGTGCTTCGTTAACAACCACGATTCGAACCTATGCCTAGACATGCATAGTATACTAATATAATAAAAATATGCATTTGTGTGTGAGAAAATAGTTTTTTGGAGCAAACAGCATGAATGCATCTTTTGGGGGTCTGAGACCGAGGACGGGAGTCTACAAGAGGCTTCGAAACTCAATAAATTGTCTAATAAATGTGAAACAAATGGGCCTGTATTATCGAGGGAAGATGCAGAGGTTTCGTAATTGGTAGCGTAAGGACATGATGATTCCTGGCGCTAGTGACATGTATATAGCCAGGTGTGCGTGACCTTACAGGTGACACCGTGACACCTGTGTAGCCTCTGTAGGTTTAGCCGTGACAGGTGTTTATATGGTGGGTGTACACCATAGGTGTACCGTCGGTGTACCCCAGGTGTACTGGTGTACCCCAGGTGTACTGGCGTACCCCAGGTGTACTGGTGTACCCCAGGTGTACTGGTGTACCCCAGGTGTACTAGTGTACCATAGGTGTATCGTGGGTGTACCGTTGGTGTACTGGTGTACCACAGGTGTGTCGTGGGTGTACCACACGTGTGCGACTTGTGTTCTACTAGTGTACCATAAGGGTACCGCTGGAGTACTGTAGATATACCACAAGAGTACCGTAGATGTACCACAGATGTACCACAGGTGTAGCACAAGTAAACGCCTTGTGTACCACAGGAGTACCATAAGTGTACCGCGGGAGCAACAGACGTGTACCGTTAAGTGAGCAACTCATGGATTTAATAAAAGTTGTTCTAGTGTAATCAAAATTTATTGACGTTTTATATGTAAAAAAAGGGCTGCAACTGATCCAAGTTTCAGTACTGCAGCCTAAATAGAAAGGGAGATTTAATTAATTTTTTTTTTCGACGAATTTTACACATTTTCAAATCCTTATAACAACCACAAGTTTCAAATTAAATAATTTCTATAACACTTTTCTGACACATTAACATATAATAAAGGATCTGTAGAAAGGGATTTTGCAAAACATCTTTAGTTTTCCTAATGCAAATAGTCAAAGTTCCCCCCAAAAAATTATGCAAATATATCATGTTTATTGCTATTATAAAATCAATAAATCAACTTAGGGAAAAACGCTGGCCCCAGATTTTAGAGACATAAACTTTACATATAAGGTGTAAGTTTCATGTAAATTGAATAACAAATGATAGAGTTATAAGAACATTTATGTTACTTGAAAATAATTAAGAAAAAATTAATTCTAAGGTGCTGCCATCTGTGGCTGAGGTTGACATCAACCAATTTCCTCCAAAATTGGCACCCTTACAGATAGGCTTACGTGCAGTCAGGTGTATAAGTTCCATGCAAATCGTCCGATAAACAAATGAAAAAAATAAAATTGAACAAGAAAATCATTTTTTAACTTTTTCTTTAATAAAACTAATTATATATTTTTTTAATATATGCTATTGTGATAGCTGAGAGTCATAGACATGATTTCAGTTGACACTTGTGTTTGATAATCGTTTTTGACCATTTTGGAAAATTTTTGACACACAATTCAATATTTTTTTTTCTCCCTTCCTATTTACGCTACGATGCTGAAACTTGAACCAGTTGAACCAAATTTTATACACAACTAGTCAAAAAAGTTTGATTGAATTCGAACCAGTTTTCATTTATCGCATTTTTCCATGAGAACGCTCCTTAAGGCACCGTTACTGATAGATACAGTCGTTAAAGGTGTGTACCCTTGTACCGTAGTTGTACCGTAGTACCCTACACTATGCCAGAAGGCAACCCTCATCCATGTGTACCCTATAGTGTAGCTATAAAAGGTGTAGCCCACTCGAGTGTACCGCCGGTGTACCGCCGGTGTACCGCAGGTGTACCGTAGGTGTACCGTAGGGTGAAGGAGGGGACTGGAACTAAGAGAGCCTGTGTACCTCCTCCTCAGCGTGCAGACCTCGTCCACCTCCGCGATGGAGGTCCTTGCTGGCAGCCCCTTGACGGAGCCTCGCTTCAGAAGGAACAGGTGACGTTCTCTCACTTCCAGGAGAGAGAGAGAGAGAGAGAGAGAGAGAGAGAGAGAGAGAGAGAGAGAGAGAGAGAGAGAGAGAGAGAGAGAGAGAGAGAGAGAGAGAGAGAGAGAGAGAGAGAGACTAGGGGAAGAAAATCCAGGAATGAATGACTTAAGGGAACACGCGAACATCAAAGAAAATTGAGTGCATAATCAACTGAGGTTGAGTGTGGTGGAGGCTGGGCGGGGAGGCAGGTGTGGGGGGCATGTGTGGGGGCATGTGTGGGGGGCAGGTGTGGGGGCAGGTGTGGGGGCAGGTGTGGGGGCAACCAATATACTGCTAGTTAACATTTCCAGTCAACTTGTTCCGTCAGTTGACTGGTAATACACCCACAACACCTACACCCACACAACACATAAATCCACACAACACTTCTGTGGGTGTATGTCGGGTGTGAGTGTGTGGGGTGTGTGGGTGTGGGGTGTGGGGTGTGTGGGTGTGGGGTGTGTGGGTGTGGGGTGTGTGGGTGTGGGGTGTGTGGGTGTGGGGTGTGTGGGTGTGGGGTGTGAGAGTATGTGGGGTGTGTGAGTGTGTGGGGTGTTTTGGGTGTGAGTGTGGGGGTGGGGGGGGGTGTGTGTTGGGTCTGTGTGTGTGGGGGGGGTGTGGGGTGTGAGTGTGGGGTGTGAGTGTGGGGGGGGGTGTGGGGTGTGAGTGTGTGAGTGTGGGGGGGGGGTGGGGGGTGTGAGTGTGGGGTGTATCCAAATTAAGGGCAAAACGAAATTTTTGATATGTAGCCCATTCCTCCTCCCTACATCTCCCGTACACACACACACACACACACACACACACACACACACACACACACACACACACACACATTTGTTAGACCAGTCTATTTAACACAAGGGGCACACGCACTAGGGGACACCGGTGGAAACTGAGTGCCCAAATGAGCCACAGAGATGTTAGAAAGAACTTTTTTTTAGTGTCAGAGTGGTTGACAAATGGAATACATTAGGAAGTGATGTGGTGGAGGCTGACTCCATACACAGTTTCAAGTGTAGATATGATAGAGCCCAATTGGCTCAGGAACCTGTACACCAGTTGATTGACGGTTGAGAGGCGGGACCAAAAAGCCAAAGCTCAACCCCCGAAAGAACAGGTAATGAAATTGAGGATAGGGGCAGACAGATTCACTACAAACGACAAGGAAGTGTGCGAGGAACTGAATAAGAATTTCCAAGAGGTTTTCACATTACAGCAAGGAGAAGTTCCAGAGATAAGAGAGGGAATAGTTAGCCAGGAACCGCTAGAAAAGTTTAAGATTAATCTGTGGAGATGTAAGGAAGCTCTTGCTATAGTTGGATGTGACAAAGGTTATAAGCCCAGATGGAATTTCCCCTTGGATACTAAAGGAAGGAGCAGAAGTACTGTACCTGCCACTCTCCATAGTGTATGGTATGACAACAGATGAACTGCCAAAAATGTCGAAGACGGCTAATGTAGTCCTGATATACAAAAAGGGGGATAGACAGGAGGCACTGAACTACAGGCCAGTGTCCCTAATTTGCATACCATGCAAGCTGATGGAGAAGATTGTGCGAAAAAAGCTAGTGGAACATCTAGAGCGAAAGAACTTTGTAACACAGCACCAACGTGGGTTCAGGAATGGCAAGTCCTGCCTCACAGGATTAATTGAATTCTACGACCAGGCAAGAAAGAGAGGGTGGGCAGACTGCATATTCTTGGATTGCCAGAAAGCCTTTGACACAGTACCACAGACGAGGCTAGTAGTGCAAAAGCTGGAGATGCAGCCAGGAGTGAAAGGGAAGGTACTCCATTGGATAAGGAAGTACCTAAACAACAGAAGACAGCGAGTCACTGTGAGGGGTGAGGTCTCAGATTGGCGAGGCGTCACCAGTGGAGTCCCGCAGGGTTCAGTCCTTGGACCTATACTGTTTCTGATATATGTATATGATCTCCCAGAGGGTATAGAATCATTCCTCTCATTGTTTGCTGATGATGCAATAATTATGAGGAGGATTAAAACAGAGGAAGATAGTAGGAGGCTACAAGATGACCTAGACAGACTGAGTGAATGCTCCAACAAATGGCTACTAAAGTTCAACCCGAGTAAACGTTAAGGTAATGAAACTATTCAGTGGAAACAGGAGGCCAGACACAGAATACAGAATGGAATGGGAGATGAAGTACTTCATGAAACGGACAGAGAGAAAGAACTAGATGTTGATATCACACCAAATCTGCTTCCTGAAGCCCACATAAAAAGAATTACATCTGCGGCATACGCAAGGCTGGCTAACATCAGAACAGGCTTCAGGAACCTGGGTAAGGAATCATTCAGAACCTTGTACACCGCATATGTGAGAAAAATCCTGTTGGAATATGAGGCCCCAGCATGGAGCCCGTACCTTGTCAAGCACAAGATGTAGCTGGAAAAAGTTCAGAGGTATGCCACTAAGCTAGAACCAGAACTAAGAGGCATGAGTTACGAGGAAAGGCTGCGGGAAATGCACCTCACGATACTGGAAGACAGTAGAGTAAGGGGAGACATTATCACTACTTACAAATTTCTCAGCGGAATTGACAAAATGTAGATATGATAGAGCCCATTAGGCTTGGAATCTGTACACCAGTTGACTGACAGTTGAGAGGCGAGACCAAAGAGCCAGAGCTCAACCCCAACAATCACAACTAGGTGAGTACACACACACACACACACAGAGGCTGAGTGGCCAGCGCTCGGGAGTCGTAGTCCTCACGGTTCGGGTTCGATTCCCGGCGGAAGCGGAAACAAATGGGCAGAGTTTCTTTCACCCTGATGCTTCTGCTTACCTAGCAGTAAATAGGTACCGTAGAGTTAAACAACTGCTACGGAATGCTTCCTGGGTGTGTGTGTGTGTATTAGATATATATATATATATATATATATATATATATATATATATATATATATATATATATATATATATATATATATATATATAACTGAAAACTCACACCCCAGAAGTGACTCGAACCCATACTCCCAGGAGCCACGCAACTGGTATGTACAAGACGCCTTAATCCACTTGACCATCACGACCGGACATAATGAGGTGATAGCCGAGGCTATTTGAGCCACCCCACCGCCGGCACTCGGATAGTAATCTTGGGCATAGCATTTTACCAAATCACCTCATTCTTTGGGGCACACGTGAGGAACACAAAGTGAGGAACATTTGTGTTCCTCACGTGTGCCCCAAAGAATGAGGTGATTTGGTAAAATGCTATGCCCAAGATTACTATCCGAGTGCCGGCGGTGGGGTGGTTCAAATAGCCTCGGCTATCACCTCATTATGTCCGGTCGTGATGGTCAAGTGGATTAAGGCGTCTTGTACATACCAGTTGCGTGGCTCCTGGGAGTATGGGTTCGAGTCACTTCTGGGGTGTGAGTTTTCAGTTGCATATTGTCCTGGGGACCATTCAGGCTTGTTCGCATATATATATATATATATATATATATATATATATGTAATAGATATAATAAAGGGAAAATAGCTGGTTAGAAAGGCGGGGTCCAAGAGCTAATAACTCGATTCTGCAGACACAAATAGTAAATACACACACACACACACAAACATTCAAACACACACAGCTCATCCATAGTCCTCCCTCCCAACCAGCAGTACTTGCCAATTGTAGAGTACCACTCTACGTGTATAGTACCACTCCACGTGTAGTATACCACTCTACGGGTAGAGTACCACTCCACGTGTAGAGTACCACTCTACGTGTATAGTACCACTCCACGTGTAGTATACCACTCTACGGGTAGAGTACCACTCCACATGTAGAGTACCACTCCACGTGTAGAGTACCACTCCACGTGTAGTATACCACTCTACGGGTAGAGTACCACTCCACATGTAGAGTACCACTCCATGTGTAGAGAATGTTGCATCTAAATAGATTACTCATGCACTGAAAGGTGATGAATCGAGCTCTGTAAAGTCGATGATTCATGCTTCGTGAAGTCGATGATTCATGCTTTGTCAAGTCGATGCCTCATGCTTCGTAAAGCTAATGATTCATGCTTTGTAAAGTCGATGATTCATGCTTCATGAAGTCGATGACTCATGCTTCGTGAAGTCGATGATTCATGCTTTGTGAAGTCGATGACTCATGCTGCGTGATGTCAATGACTCATGCTTTGTAAAGTTGACGATTCGTGCTTCGTGAAGTCAATGATTCGTGCTTAGTAAAGTCGACGACTCGTGCTTCGTGAAGTCGACGACTTGTGCTTCGCGAAGTCAATGACTCGTGCTTCGCGAAGTCGATGACTTGTGCTTCGTGAAGTCGATGACTCGTGCTTCGTGAAGTCAATGACTCGTGTTTCGCGAAGTCGATGACTTGTTCTTCGCGAATTCGATGACTCATGCTTCGCGAAGTCGATGACTCATGCTTCGCGAAGTTGATGACTAGTGCTTCGTAAAGTGGATGATTCGTGCTTCGTAAGTCGATGATTCATGCTTCGTAAAGTCGATGATTCGTGCTTCGTAAAGTCCATGATTCATGATTCGTAAAGTCGGTAATTCATGCTTCGTAAAGTTGATTTCTTTAAGATCAATACTTTATAAAGTTTATAAATTATAATTTTTAAATTTGATGATTCATTCATTATTATTTAGCGTGACGTCCATTTGAAAATATGTGAGCCCTAATTTATAAACTTAAGAAATTATACATTCAAACTAAAGGAATCATTCAGACCTTGTACTTATCTGGTACTGGTATTGTACTTGCCTAGTAACAGCCTTGTACTTGCCTACTACCTGCCTTGTAGTTGCTTGATTCCGGTATTATTGTAGCCTCATACCAACCTTGTACTTGCATGGTACCGGTTTGGTAGTTACCTGGTACCAGCTATGTAGCTGCATGGTATAGGTCTTGTAGTTGTCAGGTACCAGCCTTGTAGTTGCTGTTATCAGCCATGTACTTGGCTGTTATCGGTCCTGAACTTACCCGTTACCAGCCTTAATTTGTACTTGCCTGGTACCGGTCTTATATTTGTCTGGTACTCGCCTAGTTTGTACTTTATCCTAATCAGGACTAAAACCCCAAATAACAGTCTAGGGGTAGTTATGACCGGATAAGTTATGATTAGTAAAAAGTTTTGGCTAGGAAGATGTTCTGAGGCAAGCACAAGGCTAGTTAAAGTAAGTTAAGTGGACCATCCCTTGTGGCATTCACTTTACAGAATTTTTCCACTTTTGATGCTCAAACATTCTTATAAGCTTGTGTTGCAACCTCTAACCTAAATTTAAATATTATTTTTTTTTAGATGATTTTATCTTGGCACTGAATACAATAACTCAGTTTTTGCTTATGCTGTTAAAAAAAAGCTTGAGTTAAGATTTTACTGCATTCAAGATCATAGTTTTAGTTTTCACATAATATGGGATTGCCTTTCAGCTTTTATAACAAATGAAAACTGAATTTTAATCTTAGCACCAAACAAGAGCTCATTTCTAGCTTTATCTACATATATGAGAGCTTACACACAATGAAATAACTAGAACATGATATATCTAGGGAAGAAAATATTGTGACTGAACAATAGGATCGAACCTGTGTCAGTGGATTCCACAAGGCCATTAGTGCATGTACCTGGGGAGTCTAGGGTTGCAGATTCGATCCCATTTTACGGCCTCAATATTTTTTGTTTACAAGACCTTATAGTTTTATATGCCGTTGCATATCAGAAATCAGTTACAGCCGTTTTTCTTCCTAGGACTTAAATGTTTTTTTTTTAGGATTAGTTAATAATTGTCTTACTCCTGATTGAGCACTGAAAATATTTTGCTTCTAAATTTTTTTTCCGCACATATTGCACGAAGAATCACAAGACGCCTAGATTCACCGATACCAATGAAACCTTTTTTCCTAGTTTTAGCTATACAAATATAGTTCTAGTTTTATCTTTAAGTAGTATAGAACTGATCTGGCGCTTCACACTCGCACGAAACTTCCCCATTATTAAACTCATAGTTAATAGTGTATCTCAGCCATTATCTTGGCTGTATGTGCATACCACAATCACGGAGGCTCTGTTTACCACCGCCACTACCAAATATATATGCACAAGAGTCGCTTTCAAGCGCTTAATTCATCCTTTTTTATGTAAAAATTTGGCAGCTAATCATTGAGTTCACAAGTTGATCTTAGCACTCAAAAGTGTTTTAAAATATTTCAATTCTGTCAAAAGATTATTTTGTAAATAAATAATAATAACAGCGATAATAATATTGTTGAAGAGAGAGAGGAGGTAACAAGATATGACTCGGCTGCAGTTTCTGCCTCATCATGCCAATTTTTGTATACAAGTTCCCTCTAAAAAAATTTATCTGGTTGATAATAATTGGTTAGTGATGTAATCCGGTTAATAATAATTGGTTGGTGACGTAATCCGGTTAATAATAATTGGCTGTAACGAATGTCAAGATTTCTATGTTTACAAAATTTATTTGACATGTTTTCGAGACATCTGTGGAAATTGGAGGTGGATCAGTGGAGCGTGGTTAATGGTGCTTGGAGCTTTTTACCCAGAAACCACTGATGGTCTCCACATTTTACGACAGTCACTGTATACACTTAAACACTGTTTATATGTTCAGTCCCCACCAGTTCCACCACCACCACTGTCATCACCACCACCACTGTCACTACCACCACCACTGTCACCACCACCACCACCACTGTCACCACCACCACCACTGTCACTACCACCACCACTGTCACCACCACCACCACTGTCACTACCACCACCACTGTCACTACCACCACCACTGTCACCACCACCACCACTGTCACTACCACCACCACTGTCACCACCACCACGACTGTCACCACCACCACCACAGTTACTACTGTACTTCTATTACCACCACTATATCATCATCATCTTCACTACAACTGTCAAAACTAGTACCATCAACCCTCTTCATCCACCACCAGTCACAATCACCACACTTAACAGTCACAAACTACGCTTCTAAGTATCTCCCTCGGCCGCCCTATACCCGTTCTCCTCCCTAAACATCACCCGCACTCTCCCGTTCACCACCACCCAGTACCTCCCCCAAGAGCACCACCACCCAGTACCTCCCCCAAGAGCACCACCACCCAGTACCTCCCCCAAGAGCACCACCACCCAGTACCTCCCCCAAGAGCACCACCACCCAGTACCTCCCCCAAGAGCACCTCCCCCCATCACCACCCAGTACCTCCCCCAAGAGCATCACCACCCAGTACCTCCCCCAAGAGCACCACCACCCAGTACCTCCCCCAAGAGCACCACCACCCAATACCTCCCCCAAGAGCACCACCACCCAATACCTCCCCCAAGAGCACCACCACCCAGTAACCTAAGAACAGCACCATCCAGTACCTCCCCCAAGAGCACCACCACCCAGTACCTCCTCCCCAAGAGCACCACCACCCAATACCTCCCCCAAGAGCACCACCACCCAGTACCTCCCCCAAGAGCACCACCGCAGCGTACCCCTCACTGCTTCTCTCACCTCAGGTTTTCCTCTGGGGACCTCTCTGCCGAGTGTGACGACGAAGAGACGGGTCTCCGTAAACAAGAAGTTATTACCCAACAGGTAAGCCACTTGAGCTGCTACATACTTATAGTATTGTATGTGTACATTATCATCATAAGGCGGTTGAATGCCATGCCTTGCTTTGTTTTTTTAAATACTTATTTCCCCATGTGTATGTTTTTGGAAGCAAAGTGGTCTTCAGGTGATGGTGTTGGGCTTAAGGCCTATTACAATACTGACCAATCAGCAAGGATACTTTACTCCTGAACATAGTCCAGGACTAAACTAAACTCAGTATGTATACACCGAAAAGCGAGATACGCGTTGCTGTGTATATATATCCCTTGTCTTAATTAAGGAAGCAGCTTACCGCTAAAATCTTCCCCGGAGAAGTTGTTAAGTATATATAATAGTTATCAATGTCATCGCGGTCAGCCTCATAATGGTGACGCTGTCGTCTGTGTGTAAGCCACATCATCTCTTAAAAATAATTCCCAGTCATCAGATCTATACAAATCATAAAACTTTATGTAAACAAATAATAAACGTCAAATTGAAATACAATTTACAAAAAGAGAATATTTCATATTTAAATTACATATAACTTTCAAAAAACTGTTTTTGTAAATTAAATTAAGTACTAAACTAAAACCAATAAATACAAAATAGGGAAAGTACGACAAAAATAAATAAAGTGTTTAAAATTTTACAGCCTCGTAGCTGAAGTATCAAAACACAACCAGTAAATTTATGACAAGTTCGACAGTCTTAATATAGAAGAGAGTCGGCAGTGGTCACGAGAGCAAGCGGTTGAGTAGTGATTTCATAAAATGTATCATCATGCATCTACCTCCGGGATCATAATTGCTGCAGTCTACCTTAGAGTCTGATCCACGAGCAATTTATGTTAGAATTCACTTAAAAGTCAACTGAGCAGTGTGTAAAGTGTATTATTCATAAACGTGGGGTTTGGTTGCTGGATTAGGAAGCCATTGTTGATGAGGACGGGTTGCACTCACAGCTGCTTACGTTTGAACTTATATTGAAGAGTGCTTACCTCATTTTCTATTCCCAAAGCTCACCTCTATACCTACTCCACCCACGTACTGCAAATACCTATAATTACCAATAGAATCAAAACACTCAGCCTAACCTACCCAAGGTAAGGTAGATAGCGAGACCAAATAATTGGAAGGATAACTCTCATAGAGTTGAATAAAGAGCGGCACTAAAGAGCCGACGGACTCTTAAATAAGCGTTATGTATTAAGGACCATTAAGCCAGCAAGAGGAGAATTTTACCCCAGTTGCATATCATATAATTTAGACATGAATTAACGGTAATATCACATCTGACACGCATGTTTACTTAATAGAAAAAGCCGCGAGGAAGTCTTTCAAGTAGTGAAGCGCTCCAGATCCTGGAAGGGTACCATTCCAGATCCTGGAAGGCTACCATTCCAGATCCTGGAAGGCTACCATTCCAGATCCTGGAAGACTACCATTCCAGATCCTGGAAGGCTACCATTCCAGATCCTGGAAGACTACCATTCCAGATCCTGGAAGGCTACCATTCCAGATCCTGGAAGGCTACCATTCCAGATCCTGGAAGGCTACCATTCCAAATCCTGGAAGGCTACCATTCCAGATCCTGGAAGGCTACCATTCCAGATCCTGGAAGGCTACCATTCCAGATCCTAGAAGGCTACCATTCCAGATCCTGGAAGGCTACCATTCCAGATCCTAGAAGACTACCATTCCAGATCCTGGAAGGCTACCATTCCAGATCCTGGAAGACTACCATTCCAGATCCTGGAAGGCTACCATTCCAGATCCTAGAAGACTACCATTCCAGATCCTGGAAGGTTACCATTCCAGATCCTGGAAGACTACCATTCCAGATCCTGGAAGGCTACCATTCCAGATCCTAGAAGACTACCATTCCAGATCCTGGAAGGTTACCATTCCAGATCCTAGAAGGCTACCATACCAGAACCTGGAAGGTTACCATTCCAGATCCTAGAAGACTACCATTCCAGATCCTGGAAGACTACCATTCCAGATCCTAGAAGGCTACCATTCCAGATCCTAGAAGGCTACCATTCCAGATCCTGGAAGACTACCATTCCAGATCCTAGAAGGCTACCATTCCAGATCCTAGAAGGCTACCATTCCAGATCCTAGAAGGCTACCATTCCAGATCCTGGAAGACTACCATTCCAGATCCTAGAAGGCTACCATTCCAGATCCTAGAAGGCTACCATTCCAGATCCTAGAAGGCTACCATTCCAGATCCTAGAAGGCTACCATTCCAGATCCTGGAAGACTACCATATCAGAACCTGGAAGGCTACCATTCCAGGCCCAGAAAGGTTAATATTCCAGAACGTGGAAGGTTACCAAAAATTATCATTATCACTAACTATCCCTGGGTGTAGTCTCAAGGGAAGATATGCGATATAATTCCACCCCTGACCAGTAGTTCACGTTTCAGAGGCTAAGTGTTGTAATTACAAGCAGGAAAACCAGTCTACATTCTGGACATTCTATTAGACGCCCCATTACCCGGGGGTCACACCCAGTACCCAGAAGTCACCCAGTACCCAGAGGTCACACCCAGTACCCAGGGGTCATCCAGTACCCAGAGGTCACACCCAGTACCCAGAAGTCATCCAGTACCCAGAGGTCACCCAGTACCCAGAAGTCATCCAGTACCCAGAGGTCACCCAGTACCCAGAAGTCATCCAGTACCCAGAGGTCACCCAGTACCCAGAGGTCACCCAGTACCCAGAGGTCACCCAGAACCCAGAGGTTACCCAGTACCAAATGACCTAAATACCAGTTAGATGAGTCCTGTATGATTATAAGAGTTTACTTCACTTGGTCATATAGAATCCAGAGTCCACTTAAACGCGTCCTGGAAAATCTAGACTAATTAGAAGGGTTTGGGAAAATTAAAATTTATTAGATGGTTCTTGGATCATCTATATCCTAGTTAATTGGGTCTTGGATAATTAAGCCTCCATGTAATAGTACCCTGGATAACTAAGTCTCCTTGTAATCGGACACTAGATAATTTATCCTCCATGTAATCGGACACTAGATAATTTATCCTCCATGTAATCGGACACTAGATAATTTATCCTCCATGTAATCGGACACTAGATAATTTATCCTCCATGTAATCGGACACTAGATAATTTATCCTCCATGTAATCGGACTCTAGATAATTAAGCCTCCTTGTAATCAGCCACTGGATAATTTATCCTCCATATAATGGAACTCTGGATAATTTATCCTCTATGTAATGGAACCCTGGATAATTTATCCTCCACGTAATGGAACACTGGATAATCTAAACATTCAGTTGCCAAATATTTCTTAACAAAGACCTAAATATGCCAGTAATAAAGGAAGACCCGCGAAAAGGCACTTATTTACAGTTAGAATAAATGAATAAATGTATAAGGCTTTATCGTGAATAGATACCAATATTAAGTCAATACGCCACACGGATATACACAGTTTCGCTTGACAAATCTCTAATGGTATGTGAATTTTGTATGCTATACTGGACACTATTAACGAGCTGTAATTATACTGAATGACACGGAGCGAGTTAATTCGCTAATACAGAAATAATATAATGAGAAATACAGAACTAAGGTAGACTGCGGCTTGTCCCTGGCCATTTTTGAGCCTTAAACCACAACATAATATGATTGGAAACGTTTGAAATATATATATATATATATATATATATATATATATATATATATATATATATATATATATATATATATATAAACGTTTTAAAATGTTTGGAGACGTTTCTAAATGTTTGGAAACTTTTAAAAATTCTTTGACAATTTTTTTAATCGTTTTTAAATTATCTCGAAAGTATATAAATATTTTGAAACGTTTTTAAAACATTAGAGACGTCAGTAAATATTTCAGAACGTTATTAAATATTTCGAAACATTTTAAAACATGAGAAACGTCAGTAAATGTTTCAGAATGTTATTAAATGTTTCAGAACGTTATTAAATATTTCGGAACGTTTTTAAAACATCAGAAACGTCAGTAAATGGTTCAGAACGTTATTAAATATTTCGAAACGTCATTGATTGCTTCGAAATGTCACTGAACGTTGTGGAAAACTTTGTTTATAAGTTATTAAATATTTCAAAACACTTAAATTTCAAGAAAATATGTTGAATACTTATTTACATTTCCCTAAAGACCTTTGCAAATGTAAATTTCAGATATGGAAAATGTATGATTTGAATTTGAACAGTTTTGATCATTCTCAGAGCGAGTCATCAGTGTTGCAACGTTTATAACAACACTGAAATTTATTATACTGTAGTTGCAACATTGACCCAACATACATACAACACGATCATCTGTTCTTTAGTGTTGCAAAGATTATTTTAATGGTAAGCCTGCTGAAAACAGCAAATACATAAGAAAAAATGCATAAGAAAAAAATAATTATTATAATATATATATATTTATTAAGAAAGTCACATAATATCTTATTAACCCTTAGCCTGCGCATACGTTTTGGTTCAACATATCATAAAATATCATAAAATATTTGAGAGCTAAATCATTTAATGAGATTCCAGGTCTTTTCTGGGAGATGAGAGTTAAAAATGTGGAAAACACTAGAGGAATATTATTTTAAAAATGCTATACCGAATTTTATACTAAATATTTAATTTAGGGCCGTGTCGTACAGTTGGCTTTGCTCTGGACTCACAGTCGGGGACCCGGGTTCGAGTCTCGGGCGGGACAGAAATGGTTGAACACGTTTCCAATCGCCTAATGCCTCTGTTCACCTATCAGTAAATAGGTACCCAGGAGTTAGCTAACTGTTGTGGGGTTGCATCGTAAGGAAGGGCAGTAGCTCGACTGTCGAGGAGACCTCAATACAAGCCTAATGTATAAATATATATACACTCTAGGCATGTATCTGTTCTATGAACAGAACACAGGCTCTCTGTTCTGAAAACGAATTAAAAAAAATATTTGTTCCTCAAATTTTGAAGCTACCCCTTAATATTTTATTAAAATAAGAACATGTAGAGAAAATAAGGGTGACTGAAGAAAAATATCAACTGTAGTTGACCCATTTTTTCCATTCATAATCGATATTCCCAGGTGTGATGATGCCACGAGTGATAATTCTTCTAATAACATGATTTATCTTCCTATTAAGTATTATCAGCTTCATGTATGTTAGTTCTTGGTAATTTTAAGGATTTATAAACAGAATTGAATTATCTTGATTGTATTTAGTGCTAAAAATTTATTCACGTTATTTGCAGTTTCATCTAATGTATATTTACATCGATTGACCTATGTCGCAGTATAAGGGTTTTAAGACATTCAATTTGTAATTGTTTATGGTGACAAACACAGACACATGATTGTAAACAAAAGATCATTATAACTATAAGAAAGTCATCTGGAAGGTGTTTGGTCAGTCTGTGCAACTGACAAACAGCAACTACCTCACGTGTGCACATACATGTGAGGCAACTACCTCACGTGTGTACATACATGTGAGGCAACTACCTCACGTGTGTGCACATACATGTGAGGCAACTACCTCACGTGTGCACATACATGTGAGGCAACTACCTCACGTGTGCACATACATGTGAGGCAACTACCTCACGTGTGTACATACATGTGAGGTAGTCGCTGTACGAGGACTTTGTGCAGTGAGCAGATGACTAAAACTTGGTTATTACCCATGATTAAAGCCGGACGCCACCAGCGACGAGGTAATTAGTGCATCCAGTCTGGCCGCTCGGCCTCCAGTTTGTGTGGTGGTCTCTCTCTGGCCACCACACAAACTTTCTTTACTCTTGTATCTCCGTGCGAAGGGTGCTCTCTGAGCCCCGGGTTGCAGCTCTCTCCACCGTGCAGGCAAAGGTGCCCCCCCTTCCCGAGTACCAGAACTTGAACACTGGCTCTTGGGTATCTGGGCACGAGTACCAGGGCTTGTACTCGAACTAGAGTACGAGGGGCTCAAGCACGGACAACAGGGTTCTAGTAGCCTGGACCTTGAACGTGTGTGATAAAGATGAAGCCGCCGGGGCTCACGAGCGCCCCTTCTCTTGTATGAGCTTGGAATGTTCAGTCGCGCTCTCCTGTTTCTCCCCCCCACCTCACCTCTTCAGCATTCACTCCTGCATTGTGTACAGATCCTCTGGGTGCAACTCCCTCTTGCTCTCAATATATAGTTTGTTTCTACTGTATCTTCTCTCACCTTTGAATGCTAATGCCGCTCGTTGAATTGTTTATTCTTTTCTACATTATTCTATATTTTCTGGCTGTCTAGCGCAGGTGGGCGAGGCTAGCGGAGTGCGTGAGTCCCTCGCCTCCTGGTTTAGGCCCAGCTTTTTATCATTAACCATGCTTGTGTTTAACCTCTCAGATCAGTTCCTCTCCTTCACTGCCTTCCTCTCTCTCTCTCTCTCTCTCTCTCTCTCTCTCTCTCTCTCTCTCTCTCTCTCTCTCTCTCTCTCTCTCTCTCTCTCTCTCTCTCTCTCTCTCACCCTCTCTCTCACCTCGTCTACCTGTCATCTTCCTTCTTCTGTAAGGCTGAGAGGCAGCAAGCGTCGCCCGGGACGCCACAGTCCCGAAGACAGTCTCAGAGTCAATCACAAGACCAACCTCAGGCCTTGGTACAGACCCAACCTCAGGGCCAACCTCAGGGCCAACCTCAGGGCCAACCTCAGGGCCAACCTCAGGGCCCACCTCAGGGCCCACCTCAGGGCCCACCTCAGGGGCCAGTTAAAGCCCAGCCCAGAGTTCAACCTCAGCAGGTAACTCACAGGAAGCCCACCTGATGCATGATTTAGTTAGCGCACGAAACTCTTCCCTGCGGTGCTTCCAGAGTGGCGGGGAGAGACCTGTGCAGGTAGTCGGCCAGTTCTGACCCCTTTTTTGTGTAGATAACGTTCCAAGTTGAACTGCAGTCAGGGGTAAGTACCATTAGAGATTTTAGTAGAGTCGATAGATAAAAGTACATAGATCTTGAATGCTGATCTAGAAGGGGGTTGGGGGGGGATCTATTACTTGTCTATCTGACGGCAAGGTTCCGCATGACCTTAAAACAGCACACAGGCACCTTAGGGGCTGTACTATACAAAGGAAAGTTCTCTGCAGACCGAACTTATGGAACTTTCTCTTCTTTCATATCTTAAAGTTCTCTCTCTATCATCCTTTATTCCTGAGAATTGGAAAAGCAAAGTTAAGACGTTTAATTTTCCTAGCTCAATGTGCGTGTCTCAGGCGGCCTTAGCACTTCTATCATATAACACCTATGTATACTTTATCTGTACTAGCAATTTGTGATCATTTATATTGATTGTAATTATTTATGTTGATAATTTTTAACCTGAGAACTAATTGTGTATTTTTTCTTTTTGATTTGCGTTGTCTTCTCAGACGAGGCTTAAGCAGGTATTGGCTCAGTGTTGGAGTAGGTGGTGGTGTTGGGGGGAGTGTTGGCGTGGCACTTAGTGGTGGAGTAAGTGGTGTTGGGGCGCTGTGGTATAGTAAGAGCTCTCTTTACTTGATTAAAGAGCCTCCCTGATCACCGCTGAAGCAGCCAATCATGAGAGTTTCACGCATTTGCCAGAGCTCTCATTGGTTGGAGAGCTTCACTGATCACCGCCAATCACGAGAGAGATATTTTTCGTCGTCAATTTTCACAGTCAAACGGCTTAAAATGTTGCCATTGAAGTATAATATTATGTTGCCCCCCACCCTTGACCGCACTGGGTGCCACGTTAAGGCTGCTTTTCTATTAGAGGGTAAGAGAGAAAGAGACCTTAAGAACCCATGCCCTTGCCAGCCTCTGCCGCCACCGGGCACAGAGCCATAGTGGACTTAGAGCCATGGCGGTAAAAAGAGCAGTAGTCAGTAGACAGATAGAGCCCTTATAAAACAAGTATACTGACCATAGAGATATATTATAGAGCTATAGACGGCACAGTTACATAGAAGGAACAAAAGCCATAGTGAAAACCACTGTAGTAGGCACAGTACTTTTGTAGATCGTGAAAACTGAATTAGTTTTTTGTTAACTTATCTTTTGTGGAGACTTTACTTTCCCCCTTTATTGAGGACATTGCGTTTTCCATGGATATTTACGTTTTCTGTTGGCAGTTCGTTTTCTGTGAAGGTTTACATTTTCCTTTTGACGGCCGAGTTTATTGGCAAGTGTTGTGTGTGTGTTGACAGTGTCAGGGGAGACTCACTCACTCACTCTACAACTGGCAACACTTTGCCAATAGTTTTTAATGGCTGCGAACAATCAATTGACTGCGTTCAGGACAATTCATTTCATGCGTTTCTGCACTGAATCACCCATTTGAGGTCCATGATGCCCCCATGATGTTTTATGAGGTCCATGATGTCCCCATGATGTTTTATGAGGTCCATGATGTCCCCATGATGTTTTATGAGGTCCATGATGTCCCCATGATGTTTTATGAGGTCCATGATGTCCCATGATGTTTTATGAGGTCCATGATGTCCCCATGATGTTTTATGAGGTCCATGATGTCCCCATGATGTTTTATGAGGTCCATGATGTCCCCATGATGTTTTATGAGGTCCATGATGTCCCCATGATGTTTTATGAGGTCCATGATGCCCCCATGATGTTTTATGAGGTCCATGATGCCCCCATGAGGTTTTATGAGGTCCATGATGTCCCCATGATGTTTTATGAGGTCCATGATGTCCCCATGATGTTTTATGAGGTCCATGATGTCCCCATGATGTTTTATGAGGTCCATGATGCCCCCATGAGGTTTTATGAGGTCCATGATGTCCCCATGATGTTTTATGAGGTCCATGATGCCCCCATGATGTTTTATGAGGTCCATGATGTCCCATGATGTTTTATGAGGTCCATGATGTCCCCATGATGTTTTATGAGGTCCATGATGTCCCATGATGTTTTATGAGGTCCATGATGTCCCCATGATGTTTTATGAGGTCCATGATGCCCCCATGAGGTTTTATGAGGTCCATGATGTCCCCATGATGTTTTATGAGGTCCATGATGCCCCCATGATGTTTTATGAGGTCCATGATGTCCCCATGATGTCCCATGATGTTTTATGAGGTCCATGATGTCCCCATGATGTTTTATGAGGTCCATGATGTCCCCATGATGTTTTATGAGGTCCATGATGTCCCCATGATGTTTTATGAGGTCCATGATGTCCCCATGATGTTTTATGAGGTCCATGATGTCCCCATGATGTTTTATGAGGTCCATGATGTCCCCATGATGTCCCATGATGTTTTATGAGGTCCATGATGTCCCCATGATGTTTTATGAGGTCCATGATGTCCCCATGATGTTTTATGAGGTTCGCCTTCTGTCACAGTTGTCTAGATCAATTCGATCCTCTCTTGACATATTGGGCTCTTGTACCTAATTGAATTACTCCGATTAGGTACAAATTGCGTATCAGTTTTGTCAATAACGCTGTTGATTATAATATAATGTGTAATTTCGTGGCGATTATCTTTTATCGTGAATATTGTGGGGGGCTGATTTGTGAAGCTCTGTACACCTGTCTTACAGGTGTGTGTGTGTATACACCTGTCTTACAGGTGTGTGTGTGTACACATGTCTTACAGGGGTGTGTGTGTGTACACCTGTAAGTATACCACGCTTCTTGGAGTGAATACATTGAGTATACCTTAGTCTTGGAGTATGTCAATGACTTAAACACACTTCCTGATTGGTCAGTAAGTTACTGAGTGGCCTTAATAACCGTCCAGAGGCTAATAAGCCTTAAGCCTCTGGAGGCCTAAGGCTTAATAAGTTTTCTTATCGTCCTGTGTTGTCGAGTACTTTACTGTTTAACGACCAGGAGAGCAGTTAAGTAGGAATGTGAAGTCCCTCAGGGGATAAAAGACAGACTAAGAGTGTTCTATCCTCTAGGACTAGGTATATATGCCTCTAGATTTATGCTGTGCCACTCAGCAATGTCTCCTCCGGTTTGGGGGGGGGGGAGTATGTGTATTAGTCCAAGACTTACTGGATGGTTCTTGCTCTCCTCGATCCTTTCTTGTCGTTAATTCTGTTTGCCAACCATTATTTAGCATCGATTTACGGTTCAGAGTTCATTATCAATTACTGCCACGTTCCGGAGGGTGGGGGGGGGGGGGAATTAATAGTGTGGTGGTGATGGTGGTGGTGAGAGTGGTGGTGGCTGTAGTGGTGATAGTGAAGGTAGTGGTGGTGGTTGTAGTGGTGATAGTGAAGGTGGTGGTGGTACTGGTGATGGTGATGATAGTGGTGGTGGTGGTGGTGGTGGTGGTGGTGGTGGTGGTGGTGGTACTGGTGATAGTGATGGTGGCTATAGTGATGATAGTGATGAGAGTGATGACAGTGACAGTGGTGACAGTGATGGTGGCTGTTCTGCCTAAGGTTCTACCTCGTAATAACCTGTCCACTTGGACAAGTTGGTTCCTTTAATATTACAAACTGTGTTAAAGTTAACTCTTATATTCTTTTGTTTATATCTTCTAATTCGTTTTGGCAAAGGGTTCCAATGCCGCAGAGACCGTCTGATGGACGCCCCGTGACAGAGAGTAGTGTGGGGGTCCCACACACTAGTGTGGGGGGTATGGGGCCCTCCACGACCCCTCCTCCCACACCATCCCCAAGCTTACACCCTAATGCTGCTATCCTACCCTGCTATCCTCCCCCACCCACCCCTCCAACACTATCCCCTCCCCACAAATGGTACCATTACAAATGTTCTAGTGCACACCTGCCCCAGCACTACACGTGTTCTGGCGCACACCTGTTCCAGCACCACACGTGTCCTAGTGCACACCTGTGCCAGCACTACACCTGCCCTAGAGCACACCTGCCCCAGCACAACACCTGCCCTAGAGCACACCTGCCCCAGCACCACACCTGCCCTAGAGCACACCTGCCCCAGCACAAGACCTGCACTAGAGCACACCTGTCCCAGCATCACACCTGCCCCAGCACAACACCTGTCCCAGCACCACACCTGCCCTAGAGCACACCTGCCCCAGCACCACACCTGCCCCAGCACCACACCTGTCCCAGCACCAAACCTGCCCCAGCACCACACCTGCCCCAGCACCACACCTGTCCCAGCACAACACCTGCCCAGCACCACACCTGCCCCAGCACCACACCTGCCCCAGCACCACACCTGTCCTAGATCACACCTGCCCCAGCACCACACCTGCCCTAGAGCACACCTGCCCCAGCACAACACCTGCCCTAGAGCACACCTGCCCTACAGCACACATGCCCCAGCACAACACCTGCACTAGAGCACACCTGTCCCAGCACCACACCTGCCCCAGCACCACACGTGTCCTAGCCTCACACGTGTTCTAGCAAACGCAGCTGTCTTAGCCGCACCACCTGTGTTTCTTTTCATGTTAACTCATCATAATGCTGCATGATGCTTGTTCGAACAGCTGCATGATGCTTGTTCGAACTGTTGCATGATGCTTGTTCGAATTACTGCATGATGCTTGTTCGAACTGCTGCATGGTAGATTCTACCCCCACCCCCTACAACCCCACGTTTCCAACCTGCTCTCGCACAAGACAACACATATATGACTTATTGCTTATAGTCACTATTTCGCTTATAAATAAGTAAATATGTGGCATATTCCAAACCATATTTTTTTTTCAAGGCACTAACTTTTCCTCTCAATTTTATTAAACAATAGAGATTTTATACAAAATTTGACAATATCCTGAGTTACTTTACAATTTATTTAAATAGTTTGGTTTTGTTTTATTATTTTTATAAAACTGTAATATCAATATAGGTAAAGGTTCAGTGCTAATTGTAATATCTTAACATACTAAGAAGGTTAGGTTAGGTTGTGGTTTTCTATTCAGCTTTTCAAGGTAAACTCAAATATTCACAATAAATTAGTATGTCACATATGCACTTATTCATCAGCAAGATATTGACTATAAGTGCGAGAACGGGTTGCCCCACGACAAACGCGCGCGCGCACACTCACACACACACACACACACACTGGGGCGCCTGGTGGCCGAGTCAAAAGGGGCGCCTGATGGCTAAGTGGACAGAACTCAGGACTCGTAATCCTGAGGACCGGGGTTCAATCCCCGGCGATGGCGGAAAACAAATGGGCAGAGTTTCTTTCACCCTAATGCCCCGGTTACCTAGCAGTAAATAGGTACCTGGGAGTTAGACAGCTGTTACGGGCTGCTTCCTGACGAAGGGTGTGTGTGTGTGGAAAAAATAAACATTGATCGTTGATTGATGACAGTTGAGAGGCGAGCCGAAAGAGCAGAGCTCAACCCTCGCAAGCACAACTAGGTGAATGCACACACACACACACTCACACACACTCACACACACACACACACACACACACACACACACACACACACACACACACACGTTAAGATAGCAGAGTTCAAGTTACATTACAGAATATTTAGTTATACAAAGATTTGTGCATTTAGAAATGTGTACATTTGACACTGTTTTGATATGTAACACATATCGCAAACACCCCACAGTTTTGTACATAATTAAGCCAACCTTCCTTACTCGTATATGTGTACAAAACTCTGCATATTACATATTATATATATCTCAAAAATGTGAAAAAGATAGGCTATAAACATACTTCAATTCGCCTCCCCCCCCCCCCCTCTCTCTCTCTCTCTCTCTGCCTGATCCGTTCGTCTATGCTGTCCCAACCATGCATGATGTTTCTAGTTTTAGTTAATAAATAACCTCTTAGTTTGATAAGTTAATATTACCTAGTTTACCCAGTTTTAACATACAGCTTATTTCCCTTCTGCTAAATAATTTGGTTAGAGGCTTTGTTTCAATCTTAATTTTTGAAGAATACATCAGATTTATTCAACTGTATTATACACTAAGAAGAGAAAAAATAAAAAGATATTTTCAGTTAAGAGATAAAAACTAGGCTTATAAGATATGTTAGAAAGTGTACAAAATGGGTATTAAGACAGTGGGGGGGGGAGAGAAGAGGGGGGCAAGCTTCCCCTTTGGAGAGAGGGAAGTTCTATACACCCCCCCCCTCTCAATCACCCATTCATATATATGTGTATTAATCTATTATTCTCTCTCCTTCCTCCTCCCTCTCCCTCCTGCCTTCTCTCACTATTTCTCCCCCCTACCTCCCTCCCTCCCTTCCCCCTCATATCTCCCCCTCCCTTTCCCCTCTCTCTCTCTTCCCCCTCATATCTCCCCCTCCCTTTCCCCTCTCTCTCTCTTCCCCCTCATATCTCCCCCTCCCTTTCCCCTCTCTCTCTCTTCCCCTTTCCGCCCCCCCCCCCCTCAGGTAAGCAGTAACAGCAGCAGTGTGGTGGGCGGCGGCGGCGGCGGAGGCGGGGGCGGCACCACCACGTACGCCAGCACGGACACCACCACCGCCGCCCCCGCGCCCCCCACCAGCGGGTCGACGGGGGGCGGCGGGGGCGGCGGGGGTGGCGGGGGTGGCGGCGGCTCCGGAGGCTTCAGCCTTAACTTCTCCAGACCCGGGTCCAGGACCACCTCCGCTCCCTCCTCTCCCTCCAAGACTAGGGAGAGCTTCCTCCAGGTCAGTACCAGAGAGAGAGAGAGAGAGACAGAGAGAGAGACAGAGAGAGAGAGAGAGAGAGAGAGAGAGAGAGAGAGAGAGACAGAGAGAGACAGAGAGAGACAGAGAGAGAGAGAGAGAGAGAGAGAGAGAGGAGAGAGAGAGAGAGAGAGAGAGAGAGAGAGAGAGAGAGAGAGAGATAGAGAGAGAGAGAGAGAGAGCAGAGAGAGACAGAGAGAGAGAGAGAGAGAGAGAGAGAGATAGAGAGAGAGAGAGAGAGAGAGAGGAGAGAGAGAGAGAGAGAGAGAGAGAGAGAGAGAGAGAGACAGAGACAGAGAGAGAGAGAGAGAGAGAGACAGAGAGAGACAGAGAGAGACAGAGAGAGAGAGACAGAGAGAGAGAGACAGAGAGAGACAGACAGAGAGAGACAGAGAAAGAGAGATATACGACATAATATTAGGTGAGAGGACAGGGCGATCTGGGAAACCAGGACATTCAAAATCTTGAGAGATGAGACCCCAGGAGCTGGATGTCAACCAGAGCCTCCAGCTGCAGGTAGACCGCTGCAGCTTCCTCCCAGTAGCCTCGGGAAGCGTCGTGGTCCCCAGGAGTAAACACACAACAGTTCCTGCATCTTTGACAAACACCTCAGAGGAACCAGTTTGCGGTTCCAGCGCCTCAGTGTTGCGCTCCAGAGAGGAACCGCCTCTCTCTTCTAATCGAGTCAAGTTTTCTATTAATGCCATTTATTCTCTTCCAATCTGTTTAACACTTTAGAAAACATCTGGAATGCCTTTTGGAATAAAGTCTGATATATCGGAATGCCGAGGTCGATAGCAAAATAGGATTTATCAAGAGCCGCCTTGGTAAATCTTATTCCTTGTGAATCCTTGTGAAATCCTTGTGAAAATCCTTGTGAAACCTGCTGGTAATGCCTTTTGGATACGTCTGACGTGTTGGAATGATACATAAGGCGATGAAGAACTACATATATTGCCTGGAATGCCTCTAAATAATTAGAATATATCATAATAATGGTCAGCCCTTTGAAACGATGGCAAACTTTTAATATACATTGAAATATATACACAAAACGGTTGAATAATTATTTTAAATTTTGAAATTAAAAATATCTGGAAATATCCTGGAATATGCGATGATATTATATATATATATATATATATATATATATATATATATATATATATATATATATATATATATATATATATATATATATATATATATATTATATATATCCTTTAAGAACGATGGCAATTTTTTTCGTGTTTTTGAACACGGCTGAAATCAATACGAAGTCCCTTTGCGCAACTTCAGACATTTGGAATGCCTCTTTGAGCAATCTTAAGAATTTTGAAACATCAAAGGTGTCTGAAACCTTTTTCGTAAGATGTGAGGATTATTCAACAGCGCTTCTGACATTCTCGATGACACTAACTCATCTGGAACACTTTGCTCGCACACTCTTCCGTCCTTTGAGGTGAAGAGATCCATATATCGTGTCCTTAGAGTGGGCAGCGGCGCTATGCTGCACCCCCAGCAACGCCTCCACCAGGCAGAACTATGCTGCCGGACCTGCTGGAACACAAGAACACCTGCTGGAACACAGGGACACCTGCTGGAAGACAGGGACACCTGCTGGAACACAGGCACACCTGCTGGAACACAGGGCCACCTGCTGGAACACAGGCACACCTGCTGGAACACAGGCACACCTGCTGGAACACAGGCACACCTGCTGGAACACAGGGACACCTGCTGGAACACAAGGACACCTGCTGGAACACAGGGACACCTGCTGGAACACAAGAACACCTCCCGGAACACAGGAACACCTGCTGGAACACAAGGACACCTGCTGGAACACACTTGGGTCACAGACCACCTGGAGTGATGGCTGGGACAGTCAGTGGGGGGTAGAGGAGTGGTGGAGAGTGCTGGCGTAGGCTCTTCCTTTGTTGCTCCCTGGGGCCCTGAGTGTGCTCTCCACACCTCTTGCTGAGACACGGAGGGAGGGAGGCACTGAGGGAGGGAAGGAGGGAGACACGGAGGGAGGGAGGCACTGAGGGAGGGAGGGAGGGAGACACGGAGGGAGGGAGGGAGACACTGAGGAAGACACTGAGGGAGGCACGGAGGGAGGAAAGACTAGAGAATGTTAAAGGAAGTATATGTAAGGGGAACAACAGATCTGGAAATCAAAGAATGTGACGGAGAGCAGGTGTACAAGGGAGTACAAGGCCATACAAGGGAGTACAAGGGAGTACAAGGCCATACAAGGGAGTACAAGGGAGTACAAGGCCATACAAGGGAGTACAAGGGAGTACAAGGAAGTACAAGACCACACAAGGGAGTACAAGACCATACAAGGAAGTACAAGACCACACAAGGAAGTACAAGACCACACAAGGGAGTACAAGACCACACAAGGGAGTACAAGACCACACAAGGGAGTACAAGACCATACAAGGAAGTACAAGACCACACAAGGAAGTACAAGACCATACAAGGAAGTACAAGACCACACAAGGAAGTACAAGACCACACAAGGGAGTACAAGACCATACAAGGAAGTACAAGACCATACAAGGAAGTACAAGACCACACAAGGAAGTACAAGACCACACAAGGAAGTACAAGACCACACAAGGAAGTACAAGACCACACAAGGGAGTACAAGACCACACAAGGGAGTACAAGACCATACAAGGAAGTACAAGACCACACAAGGAAGTACAAGACCACACAAGGGAGTACAAGACCATACAAGGAAGTACAAGACCATACAAGGAAGTACAAGACCACACAAGGAAGTACAAGACCACACAAGGAAGTACAAGACCACACAAGGAAGTACAAGACCATACAAGGAAGTACAAAAGCGTACTAGTACAAGGCAGTACCGAGACTGGACGGGTTTATAATCTGTCACTAGGGGGGGTCATCTGCTAGTTGGACTTACAATGCTATTTCCAACACTCTTGTGAGTGCCCAAGCTGCACTCTAAGATTAGAATAGCAGGTGAGAGTAAGCTTAAGGCGAAGACAGGTAAGCTTAAGGCGAAGACAGGTAAGCTTAAGGCGAAGACAGGTAAGCTTAAGGCGAAGACAGGTAAGCTTAAGGCGAAGACAGGTAAGCTTAAGGCGAAGACAGGTAAGCTTAAGGTGAAGACAGGTAAGCTTAAGGCGAAGACAGGTAAGCTTAAGGTGAAGACAGGTAAGCTTAAGGCGAAGACAGGTAAGCTTAAGGTGAAGACAGGTAAGCTTAAGGCGAAGACAGGTAAGCTTAAGGCGAAGACAGGTAAGCTTAAGGCGAAGACAGGTAAGCTTAAGGCGAAGACAGGTAAGCTTAAGGCGAAGACAGGTAAGCTTAAGGTGAAGACAGGTAAGCTTAAGGCGAAGACAGGTAAGCTTAAGGTGAAGACAGGTAAGCTTAAGGCGAAGACAGGTAAGCTTAAGGCGAAGACAGGTAAGCTTAAGGTGAAGACAGGTAAGCTTAAGGCGAAGACAGGTAAGCTTAAGGCGAAGACAGGTAAGCTTAAGGCGAAGACAGGTAAGCTTAAGGCGAAGACAGGTAAGCTTAAGGTGAAGACAAGTAAGCTTAAGGCGAAGACAGGTAAGCTTAAGGCGAAGACAGGTAAGCTTAAGGCGAAGACAGGTAAATTAAGGTGAAGACAGGTAAGCTTAAAGTGAAGACAGGTAAATTAAGGTGAAGACAGGTAAATTAAGGTGAAGACAGGTAAATTAAGGTGAAGACAGGTATATTAGGGTGAAGACAATAATAAAGAGCAACGAGCCGAGACAAAACCGCTCTGGGGAAGCAACACTGAAGCATTATTAAGAAGAAAATCCCATTAACTTTAGATCCGAGCTCACCCTTCCTGTCTGTGGTTCACCAGATGCGTTCGTTAAGTCAGCCAGGAGTGGTTAATGAACCAATCACAACCTTGATGGTATCTCCCTCCTCAGTTGGGATTGGTTCTTTATCTCGATGTTGTCTCTCTTGGGGGGGAGGGAGGGGGAGAGGGAGAGAGAGAGAGAGAGAGAAAAGAGAGAGAGAGAGAGAGAGAGAGAGAGAGAGAGAGAGAGAGAGAGAGAGAGAAAGAGTGCTTGTGCGGGTTGAGCTTTGGCTCTTTGGTCCCGCCTTCTTTCAATTTATCTTCGTGTGTGTGTGTGTGTGTGTGTGTGTGTGTGTGTGTGTGTGTGTGTGTCTATAATGATATTTACTTACAATATTAACCCCAAAATCACGTTCCAACGTCATATAGTTGTAGCATTAAGACCACGTATATATATATATATATATATATATATATATATATATATATATATATATATATATATATATATATATATATATATATATATCCGGTTATATGTGACATATTCTGAGATAACAACGCAGTTTCCCTATCCTCTAACAATCTTACGCGACCTCTGACCCGGGTGCGCAGCGCGTGTCGTCGCTGACGGGCGCAGTGCGCAGCGAGGTGACGGCGCAGGTCCGCCCAGCCTACAACAAGGACCGCTGCTTCACTCTCCTGGTTATTGACGACCAGAACACCGACTGGTGAGTACTACGACCTCTCACCCACCCATCAGGTCACAGTCTTCAACACTCATCAACACTTTCAATACTTCTTCAACGCTCAAACAGTTTCTTAACCAGACCACACACTAGAAATTGAAGGGACGACGACGTTTCGGTCCGTCCTGGACCATTCTCAAGTCGATTCTTGAGTCAATCTGATTCTCAAGTCAATCGACTTGAGAATGGTCCAGGACGGACCGAAACGTCGTCGTCCCTTCAATTTCTAGTGTGTGGTCTGGTCAACATACTTCAGCCACGTTATTGTGACTCATCGCCTGCAAACACTTTCTTCCCCCTTCGAATGGGTATTATAAACTAATCTCAACTAATTATAACTAATTGTCAAAGTCAGGTTCAACTAGCCTGATTTTCGTTATCTTAATTTGAGCCCAATTAGGCTTTTTTAGAACTCTAAAGCATGGACAGCTATGGCAATATTTCTAGCAGGTTTTTTAACTAGATCAAAGAGGGATGGGGGTTTGTAAACCTTTGTTGTGGTTTACCTGCTTTAACTACAGGTTTAGCTAGCAGCTTCATGGACATGTGTAGTTAAGGTAAACACAGGTACACCACCCTGTGCCAGGTACACCGCGTGTGTAGAGTGAGCAACACTGCCTCCTCCTCCTCCTCCTCCTCAGGTCTAAGTACTTCCGGGGCAAGCGTATCCACGGAGACTGGGACATCCGGGTGGAGCAGGCGGAGTTCCGGGAGATAAGCGTCACAGCCTCCTCCGAGGGCGGCGTCAATGTCTCCATGGTCGTCTTCAGGAACGGGGCCAAGGTCGTCAGGTAAACAAAACGTTCCTGGTCGTCAGGAAGGTAAACAAAACGTTCCTGGTTGTCAGGAAGGTAAACAAAACGTTCCTGGTCGTCAGGAAGGTAAACAAAACGTTCCTGGTTGTCAGGAAGGTAAACCAAACGTTCCTGGTTGTCAGGAAGGTAAACAAAACGTTCCTGGTCGTCAGGAAGGTAAACAAAACGTTCCTGGTTGTCAGGAAGGTAAACCAAACGTTCCTGGTTGTCAGGAAGGTAAACAAAACGTTCCTGGTCGTCAGGAAGGTAAACAAAACGTTCCTGGTTGTCAGGAAGGTAAACAAAACGTTCCTGGTTGTCAGGAAGGTAAACCAAACGTTCCTGGTTGTCAGGAAGGTAAACCAAACCTTCCTGTCTGCTGTGTTTGCAGTAAGACCGTCGCTACCACCGCCGGGGACGCGTGGTAGCGACGCACGTACGTTTTCGCACGTTCCTGCACGTACGGGAACGTGTGAAAAACGTCGAGAGAACCCTAGAGTACAGGCGCAGGAATTGTCAACTACTGACGAAACCTGTACATCATTCCTCAATCTTTGACACCTTTGGTTACATTTATTAAACAGTTTACAAGCATGGAAACTTTGCCAATCAACTGTTGTTATTATTATAAACAGCCTCCTGGTGCTTCGGAGCTCATTAACTGTTTAATAATTGTAAACAAAGCCGCCAAAGATTGAGAAAAGATGTACAGGTTCGTAAGTGCTTGCGTAACTCCTTCGTGAATCTGGCCTCAGGTCTCTTGAAGTGCCACTCCGTCACAAAAGTCAACTGTTGTGCCTGAAGCCACGAACGTACGAACCCAATCAACCCTCCTAACACTACAGTGCTTTAGTTTTCGCTAATACACCATATTTGTAACGGAGTGGTCGATTCCCGTGAAACAAATATGACGTCTTAGCTGAAAGTATATATATATATATATATATATATATATATATATATATATATATATATATATATATATATATACATATTAGTACACATGTATGATCATACATGGTCTTATTCTTGATGAGACTGTCACATCCTTAGTGCTAATAGTTGTATATTAATAATACTTGTGTGGTCCTGTGAAGTTCCTTATGGTGACACAAGATGCTCCTCGTTGGAGGCTAATGGTCGTTAGACCCCACATCAAAGCCCCATTTTCAAGATGAGCTTGATCCTTCTGCACACACGCGCGCGCATGTACACACACACACACACACACATACACACACACACACACACACACACACACACAAAAGAGCCTTTACTTCCCATACGTACATACATAGTTTTCCTTATTAAATTGGTTTAATATAACATATACATTTCTCGATTTACCTAAACAAATATAATTGACCTAACTACCTCAGAGGGGTAATTATCTCCTCGTCTCCCTGTGTAATTACGCAACTCTCAGCTCTCATATTAATTAGGGGTTTCTTTGATGTTTTAATTGGAAAAATAGGGGTAAACCATTTACGATTTACATATGGGTTTTATCTATTTATTTTGCGTAAAATAGGCTGCAGAGATTGTCACCCAGTATAGTGTGGTGGTGGTGGTGGTAGGCTGGTGGTAGTGTGGTTGTGGAGGGTGGTGGTGGTGGTGGTAGTGTGGTTGTGGAGGGTGGTAGTGTGGTTGTGGTAGGCTGGTGGTAGTGTGGTTGTGGAGGGTGGTGGTAGTGTGGTTGTGGAGGGTGGTAGTGTGGTGGTGGTAGGCTGGTGGTAGTGTGGTTGTGGAGGGTGGTGGTAGTGTGGTTGTGGAGGGTGGGTGTGTGGTTGTAATTGTTGTCAGTGGGAAGAATCCGGCCCGTTGTCCCCCCCCCCCACACACACACACACACACCGGCTGGCTTAAAGTTGTCTTACCAATACTGCACACTATGTGTAGCCCGCCGCCCACCCCTCACCCTCTCCCCTCACACACACTCCCCCCATCACACGCTCTCCCCTCTTCCCCAACTCCCCAACAATCCACCCACCCACACCTACGTGCTCTCTCCTCCTCCTGACCTTCTGGCACTCCCGTCTCCAGCAACCTATCATTGTGAGTGCCAGCAACTTATCATTGTGAGTGGTGGCACACAAGGCTTCTGCGCATCCTTCTAGCATCCCGGCGCGTCAGTACATCCCAGATATCCTATCCTCACCGCCTCAGTTCTATCCAGGATCATCGTGGTTTGGATCTCTGATTACCTCAAAGTCCTCCTATCCTGTGTTGCTTGGGGTTAATGCTATCCCATCAAGTCTAAGAACCTTCTCTTTATGTGTGTGTGTGTGTGTGTGTGTGTGTGTGTGTGTGTGTGTGTGTGTGTGTGTGTGTGTGTGTGTGTGTGTGTTAATGGGAGGGGGAGGGAGAAGGTTGGAGAACAACCATTTTCTAATAGGTATAGTACAGTTGTCAATAGCATCCACACTTCCATATACCGACCGTATCTGATGTTTCCTCTCTCTCTCTCTCTCTCTCTCTTATTCCCTCACAAACAATTAAGCTAGGCAATACTTTTCACTTGGCCAAATATTTTGCAGGCGAGTAATTCAGTGTTAGGACTAATGAAAACACAGTTGTCTTTACCGTGTGTGTGTGTGTGTGTGTGTGTGTGTGTGTGTGTGTGTGTGTGTGTGTGTGTGTGTGTGTGTGTGTGTGTGTGTGTGTGTGTGTGTGTGTGTGTGTGTGTGTGTGTGTGTGTGTGTGTGTGTGTGTGTGTGTGTGTGTGTGTGTGTGTGTGTGTGTGTGTGTGTGTGTTTCAACGCCTCATTCATCCTTGTAAATACTAATCTACACGGTCTTACCGCCATTATTATTACGTTCCATAATGTCTTTCGTGAAGTTAATCTTTCCCAGGATAATCCATCATCATCATTGATGATTGATCATCATCATTGCATGACTGATGAGTCGTGCGTATACATCAAGTAGCTGTCATGTCTTCCACTGTCTTACACCGCTTCTTATACATCTTTGGCAATCATTAGATCAATATTTACACTTATTTTTAGCTACGTTTGCGGCTTAACCGCAATTGATATTTCCTTCTAGTTAAGAGAGAGGATAGTATGACAGATCTGTGTCAGTCATCAATCACACTGTTAATCAGTGACTGAGTGAACCAATAAGTCACTGAATAAGTCACTTAATAACAGCAAGTGTTGGAAGATGTACCCTCTAAAGTTCCCATGAAGATATCCATCCAAACGCAAACCAACTATCTTCCAAACGTTTCAATCTTAAGACACTCGTTCAAAACATTGCTACGTCAAACACAGACACACACACACACTGTCT